AGTTGCGGATAGGTCCACATCGATGTGAATGCTTCCACATGAATTCAAAGCGCCATGTCTGAACTCATGCCCTCCGGTGGAAACACTACAGCTACAGTGTCGTCGTTGACTGGTGACTCCAACTCCAGCATGCACCACTCCCGTATGACGTGCGAGCTTCGTCGCTCGCTCTCACACACGGCAGGCAAGGTCTCTGTAGATCCATTCAGGTCAGCTAACTCTCTAGACAATCTCCGTGACCAAGGAGTAACTGGCCTCATTCATACCTGAACTGCAAAGAGATTCACCAACCACCTTTGCATTATCCAGGTCCCTAACAGTGGAAACGAACGACATGCGAACTTGCACACTTCCGTGGCGTGGCCTGGCACAAGCGGGTTGCACGGCTCCAACCCGAAGTGAGGCTGCGACCACATCAGCAAGATTTTGCTTGTCCTCAACGTTGTGAGGAGAATTGCTGCCCTTTGGTGAATCGAGCTTCACGGTTTCACGGAGCCCCGCCTCCTCTGTTTTGCGGTCTCCATCCTCACGCCGCTTCCTTTCACGACAAGGTCTCTGTGTTCAATCTACCTGCGATTCACAGGTCCGAGGCCCTGCCTCAGCCTCTTTCGACGCTTGCCTCAGCTGTGTTTGCAGCAGCCGTCTCTTGCATGTCTGTGCCATCATCAACCGTTTTGTTCCACCGCAGACCTCGAGCTGTAAAGGCCGGTGCATAAGGTACTTTACAACTTCACGGGGCTTCGTGCATTGTGTCTCAGCATGTCTCAGCCGAGGAACGCTTGACCCGAACCTTGCCATGCCCACCGTCATGTCCTGAAGCCAACAGTGCAGGGCCCTCCAAATTCCTCAAATGATCTCGATGCTCCAGAGATCTTTACAGCAACTAGCAATTCTGTGGTGTCGCTGTGGTGCCTGCGGCGGCCTTGGCGTCCGTGGCCGAGTTCCCCTGCCTGGGCATGCAGCTTTGATCAGCTGCATACGAATTGCAAGAGTCCGATGCGGCCAAGTTCACTGCAAGTTCACTTGGATTGTAGGGACCCCGCTGCTCTTCGCTGCTGGACGCGTGGCTCTTGGCCCCGGAGTCCTGGAGCGCGCTGCTGCAAGAGGCAGCGCCCCGGCCCCTCTTTGTTGCGCCGTTACACACCAAGAAACAGCACAGAAACCGCTGGCTCGCAACCCAGTCAGTCACATCCACCATCACCCACCTCGGCCGCACTGGCTACGGCTTCTGCCGCGGCCTCGTGGCTTTGGTTCCTGGCGCCGGCTTTTGGGATTCTAGGGCATTGTAGGGGGGCACTGGCATCGTTTTTTTTGCAATTTGGGGGATGCTGAATCTCACTGACTGGCGGTCCCGTTGCATTTTTGTGGGGGGAAGCTCAATTACTAGTAGTCCCGGGCCTGGCTGAGGGGCTGCGTGCGGGCGAAGCGACCTCTTAGCCCATCGGTGGCAAACGCTGACAATGTGTGAGAGGATTAGATGCCAAGTTGGTCATTTGGAAGCGAAAGCAAGCGCGTAGACGGCTCATACATGTGCAGACACGTGCAGACATGTGTACATATGTGCAGACTCAAAGTGGCGTCTGCATAGAGATTCCGAGATTCTGACGGCCTTGCGAGCTGCGGGACGAACCTGGCAGCGCACGTTCTCTCACGGGCGGCTGAGGTGGCTGGCCAGCGGCTGGTACATGCTGGTGCCCGCTAACACGGGCAACACGGTTAGCACGGGCGCCTTGGGTCTCGCAGCGATCGCTGGCACCTCTGCCTCGGCAAGTTGAGGTGGAAGGATGCGCAGTGGCACAGCAACTCGGGATCAGAGCCTCTGCCTCCTTCACCTCCTCTTGCGGGGTCTCCTGTGCCAGGAATGACTGGCATGTGCGAAGAAAAGTTTCAAAGCAGGCAGCCGTTTCCTGCTGCCAGTACTTGGCAAGCTCGGTCGCATCAACAGCAAGGTCTTCGTCTTCGTACTTCTCGGGTTCACCTTCGGCATCCTTCTCGGCCTCCGGACAGAATTGCGCCAGTCACTGACTACAACGGCACACAGGAACTCAACATCAATTGCAGGCAACGCAAACCAAAGACACCTCCTGCGACTCCTCCTCCTTCTCCTCATCGCCTTCCTCATCGTCCTCCTTGTCATCGGGCTGATCCTTCTCCTCTCCATCCTCCTGCTCGTCCTCCTTCTCCTGGTCTTCACGCTCCTCTTCGGCTTCTTCGCCCTCCACCTCCGTGTCTTCCTTCTGAACAGACTCCGCCTCCGCCTCCGCCTCTCCCGCGTCGTCTTCTGCCTCTTCGTCATCAGCTTCTTGCTCTTTCTCACCATTGTTGGACTCCCCCTCATCTTCCTCACGCCTTTGTCAGCACTGCAGATTGCGCATGCAAACGCGCTGCGCCCCTTCCACCCTTTCCCTTTTGCCCTCTACAGCTTTCCGCCATGTCCCGCCTTCGCCGTCGGCTCTTGCGATCCTTCTTGGGCGAGTGCGAGCCCTGGCTGGCCTCAGATCGGGATCTCTGGGATCTAGATTCATGGACATGAGACATACTCTGGGTTGTAAGAACTTCTTGAGTCCGTTGGAAAATACCGCGATGGCGCGTCAGCTAGGCGCCGCATGTCGCTTCGCGCGTCGCCGGGGGCCACGCAGCTTCTACCTTCTCCTCATCTCGCCGATCGCGCCCTTGTCGCTTTGCTCGCTTCGTGTCCAAGAGCTTCTTGAAGGTAGGCTCGTCGCCACCATCGCCCGAATCTTTTTGGTCCAGGCTGTTTGTCCTCCGCTTCTGCCCTGCGGCCTGCGTATGCGCGCGTGGCTCGATGCAACTTCTTGATGTACTTGCACTGGGACGTGCGCTCAATGCGTCTATGCACTTTGATACTTTGGGGTTCCGATATCGGAAGAGAAACGCAAGCTGCGAAAGGGAGAGGGGGGGAGTGCCTCATCGGCTGCAAGCTCATCAGCAGCTGCAACGACCATTGCCACCTAAGCTGGAGCACGGTTCAGGCACACAGACAAAAAGAGGAGAGAGAGTGAGAGAGAGAGAAAGAGTGAGAGTGAGAGAGACACACACACACACATACCCTCCCTCCCACTCACCCACCCACGCAAGCCCATGCAGGGACTGATACAACAACTCTTAGAAGTTCCGGATAGGTTCACATCGATGTGATGTGAATGCTTCCACATGAACTCAAGGCGCCATATCTGCAAACTCATGACCTCATGTGGAATTTCCAGAAGACGAGTCATTGACAGTAGGGCAGACGACACCATGCACAGTATGGCAATGCCACCATGGGAATGCCGCGTTGACTGGTGACTACAACTATCTCCAACTGCATGCACCACTCTCCCATGGCATGCGAACTTGCACACTGCCGTGGCGTGGCCTGGCACAAGCGGGTTGCAAGGCTCCAACCCGAAGTGAGGCTGCGACCACATCAGCAAGATTTTGCTTGTCCTCAACGTTGTGAGGAGAATTGCTGCCCTTTGGTGAATCGAGCTTCACGGTTTCACGGAGCCCCGCCTCGTCTGTTTTGCGGTCTCCATCCTCACGCCGCTTCCTTTCACGACAAGGTCTCTGTGATCAATCTACCTGCGATTCACAGGTCCGAGGCCCTGCCTCAGCCTCTTTCGACGCTTGCCTCAGCTGTGTTTGCAGCAGCCGTCTCTTGCATGTCTGTGCCATCATCAACCGTTTTGTTCCACCGCAGACCTCGAGCTGTAAAGGCCGGTGCATAAGGTACTTTACAACTTCACGGGGCTTCGTGCATTGTGTCTCAGCATGTCTCAGCCGAGGAACGCTTGACCCGAACCTTGCCATGCCCACCGTCATGTCCTGAAGCCAACAGTGCAGGGCCCTCCAAATTCCTCAAATGATCTCGATGCTCCAGAGATCTTTACAGCAACTAGCAATTCTGTGGTGTCGCTGTGGTGCCTGCGGCGGCCTTGGCGTCCGTGGCCGAGTTCCCCTGCCTGGGCATGCAGCTTTGATCAGCTGCATACGAATTGCAAGAGTCCGATGCGGCCAAGTTCACTGCAAGTTCACTTGGATTGTAGGGACCCCGCTGCTCTTCGCTGCTGGACGCGTGGCTCTTGGCCCCGGAGTCCTGGAGCGCGCTGCTGCAAGAGGCAGCGCCCCGGCCCCTCTTTGTTGCGCCGTTACACACCAAGAAACAGCACAGAAACCGCTGGCTCGCAACCCAGTCAGTCACATCCACCATCACCCACCTCGGCCGCACTGGCTACGGCTTCTGCCGCGGCCTCGTGGCTTTGGTTCCTGGCGCCGGCTTTTGGGATTCTAGGGCATTGTAGGGGGGCACTGGCATCGTTTTTTTTGCAATTTGGGGGATGCTGAATCTCACTGACTGGCGGTCCCGTTGCATTTTTGTGGGGGGAAGCTCAATTACTAGTAGTCCCGGGCCTGGCTGAGGGGCTGCGTGCGGGCGAAGCGACCTCTTAGCCCATCGGTGGCAAACGCTGACAATGTGTGAGAGGATTAGATGCCAAGTTGGTCATTTGGAAGCGAAAGCAAGCGCGTAGACGGCTCATACATGTGCAGACACGTGCAGACATGTGTACATATGTGCAGACTCAAAGTGGCGTCTGCATAGAGATTCCGAGATTCTGACGGCCTTGCGAGCTGCGGGACGAACCTGGCAGCGCACGTTCTCTCACGGGCGGCTGAGGTGGCTGGCCAGCGGCTGGTACATGCTGGTGCCCGCTAACACGGGCAACACGGTTAGCACGGGCGCCTTGGGTCTCGCAGCGATCGCTGGCACCTCTGCCTCGGCAAGTTGAGGTGGAAGGATGCGCAGTGGCACAGCAACTCGGGATCAGAGCCTCTGCCTCCTTCACCTCCTCTTGCGGGGTCTCCTGTGCCAGGAATGACTGGCATGTGCGAAGAAAAGTTTCAAAGCAGGCAGCCGTTTCCTGCTGCCAGTACTTGGCAAGCTCGGTCGCATCAACAGCAAGGTCTTCGTCTTCGTACTTCTCGGGTTCACCTTCGGCATCCTTCTCGGCCTCCGGACAGAATTGCACCAGTCACTGACTACAACGGCACACAGGAACTCAACATCAATTGCAGGCAACGCAAACCAAAGACACCTCCTGCGACTCCTCCTCCTTCTCCTCATCGGCTTCCTCATCGTCCTCCTTGTCATCGGGCTGATCCTTCTCCTCTCCATCCTCCTGCTCGTCCTCCTTCTCCTGGTCTTCACGCTCCTCTTCGGCTTCTTCGCCCTCCACCTCCGTGTCTTCCTTCTGAACAGACTCCGCCTCCGCCTCCGCCTCTCCCGCGTCGTCTTCTGCCTCTTCGTCGTCAGCTTCTTGCTCTTTCTCACCATTGTTGGACTCCTCCTCATCTTCCTCACGCCTTCGTCAACACTGCAGACTGCGCATGCAAACGCGCTGCGCCCTTTCCACCCTGTCTTTCTTTCTCTCTTTCTTGGGGCATAGGGGTCGCCCCCTCTCTCTCTTTCTCGCTTCTCTCTCTCTCTCTCTCATTCCTCATTCTCTCTCTCTCTCTCTCTCTCTCTCTCTCTCTTTCTGCGCAGTTATCCCTCTCCCGTTGGAGAAGGCCGCCCGTAGGCCTGCGTTACAGGGTACAGTGGAATGACCATTTTGTTTGGAGTACCCAGGAGACAAATTGTCAGATTAGTCGAACCCGTCTCCCTTCCACTCCCTGTTAGGCTCAGCATTCCCTTCGCCCCTCCACAGTGTGGCTTGCATGTTCACCTCCCCAAATGCCCTTACGTCAAAAGATAGCATGGCTGAGGTCTATATCTTTCCCTGCAAACTTACAATGGGCTGTTCAGGGCGGCCTGGCTTGTTGTGAAACACCCGCCCGGCTTTGTTGGGGTATCTGTAGCCACAGCTTGCAACATCTTCTGGCCTTTGGAATAGGTTGTGGGACGGGCTGCGAAGACACTGCTCTCGTGTTGTAGGTTGCGGGTTCCCTTTTGTTGGTTCACTGGGCCGATGTTCTCCCTACAACCAGAGGGGAAGTGTACCAATGCTAGGGGTCTGTCTCTCTCTCTCTGTCTCTCTCTCTCTCTCTCTCTCTCTCTCCCACACGCATAACCCCCCCGAAGGGAGGCTGCCCCCAGGGGCTGTCTCTCGCTCTCTCTCTCTCGCTTTCTCTCTTTCTTTCGTTCTCTGGAGAAAGCCGGAAGGTGAGCGGTTGGTCCGTTTGCACGCCCGCACAGCTCCGGGCGGCTGCATGCTCCCACAAACGCATCAACCCCCCAACCACTGCAAGTAACTCCCAGCGACCCTCTTCGCGACATCATCACATCATCGGGTGGCAGGGGCCGGTCCAGACAGCTTTGGGGAAAATGAAGGCCAGCTTGGTCTACGGGTGGGCCAAGACATGCACGAGCTACACTCCTAGGGTCCTAGACCTCACACGACGCACCTACGGCTGGCGGAAGCACGGAGAGGCCGAAGTGGCGTTAAGCCTTGCTCATCATGGAGCGGGGACGCAGTTCGAAGATGAGGCAGGGGAGGCAGCCAAGCAGGTGATGGCACACATTCAACGAGCCATCGCGCCCTGTGCTGGGGCGCTGGACGAGATATCGAGATGCGAGGTGAAGTGGGTGAACGGTACAACCCGCGGAGACCACGCCCTCGCCCGGGCGAACTGGAAAGGCCAGAGCGGCAGCCATTGCGGGACTGAAGCCCCGGCTACACCTGCAAGCTCATTTCGATTCTTATCACCTGCCTGATGGGGGAAGCCAGAGACGTGGTCGCCGCAGCGCTAATCCCTTCCCCCTAATATTAAACGGGGGTCCCCCCCCCCCAATAGAAAATCGAAATGTGTTTTTATTATTAGGGGTGGGTTTTTATCGAAATGCCATGTTCTAGACTCCAGATTTACTCAAGTAATCAAGTACTGAAGTGTGGTGTAAACTGAAAGAAAGAGACAGAAGAGAGAGAGAGAGAGAGAGAGAGAGAGAGAGAGACGGGCCTCTAAATTAAACCTAGCCTAAACCCTTAACCCTAAGCCCTAAACCCTTAATTAACCCTAGACCCCCCAACCCTAAACCCTCTGAGGGTTTTATTGGTGTTGAAGGATTTCTTGGAGGCCTGAACACCCCCCTAATTCGGAATAGGGTTTAAAAGGCGGGCTTGGTTTCGGGAGGTTTTTCCAGAAAGTATTTTTAGCATTAGGGGGGTCTTTAATAAAAGGGGGAAGGGATTAGCAGACCTGGAAGAGTTGGCACACACAGCAGCACAACGCGATCCGAGACTACCTGAACCACAGCGAGCCGTACCGGCCACAGTTGGGGAGAGGTGCGCGACGAGACGACCCGGGACAACCGAAACCACGACGAGAAATACCGGGCATGTTCGGCCTCGCCCTGGAGAGGAGAGAAGGACGACGAAATACCGAAACACGTGATCGTCAGTGACAGCGGAAAGACGAAACAGAGCAGGGGGACAACGTCGAGATCACGGAGCCCCGACTCAGCCGCGGCCAATGGAGGAGAGCGGCAGCTGACAACTCCAAGCAAGGCAGAGCTCGGCGGGAGTAGCGATTAAGCTGTAAGCCTCATAAGGCACGAAGCTTCTCTATCTTGTCACTCTCCCTTGCCCTTGCCCGGACCTCTGGCAGCTTCCCGCCATGTCCCGCCTGCGCCGTCGGCTCTTGCGGTCCTTCTTGGGCGAGCGCGAGCCCTGGCTGGCCTCAGGTCGGGATCTCTGCGTTCTTCGCGGACATGTGACATACTCTGAGCTGCCAGAACTTTTGAACCCGTTGAATACCCGCGTCTCGTTGCATGTCGCCGGGGGCCACGCTGGAGCTTCTACCTTCTCCTCATCTCGCCGATCCCGCCCTTGTCGCTTTGCTCGCTTCGAGTCCAAGAGCTTCTTGAAGGTAGGCTCGTCGCCGCCATCACCCGAATCGGACCGAGCCGATCGAGCGCGGCGGTTTCCTGATGACATTAGCAGCCAATGCGAGGAGATGTCTCAAAGGATGGCCCCAACCACCTCTAGAGCCTCTGTCAGTTCTTTCATCACGCTTCCGGTGGTCTCCTCCACCTTTCTTGCGTCACTTGCTTGAAAACAGCATGAAGGGTTTGGGTTCTGGGTGCTTGTGCCTCTCGCCACCCGTCGGCGTGACCGGTCAGACCTGCAGTGCTCATCACTCCAAAGACTCACACCACCAGAACGCATGCAAGAACCTTGGAGAACCCCAAGTGCTTCCAGCTTTTATTCATGCCAGTCTCATATTGAAGTCTCATGCTCACTGGTTGCCTACGTCCGTCTCGGTCGTTTCGGCGGCGGCCGCTGTCGCTCCGACCTCCGTTCGAGATGGTACTAGCCCTAGCATGTTGGAGTACTAAAGCTTGCTGACATGATAGAGCGCCTCGATGTGGCGGTGACCGTCGGCCTTATTTTGGGGTCTACAGAGGCTCTGCCACATTTCAAGAAGACGACAGCATTGTGCAGGCATGAAAGCGACTTGCCTTCGCGCCCATTGCGGCTTCTCCGACGCCGCTCACGGCTCCTTTCCCGGCCTGACGTCCGGCTGTGTAAGTGGCTTCGCTGGTTGATAATATTTGGGGATCTTGGTCTTGGAGTACAACACCCTTATTCCTGATCCGCTGTGGGCCCTGCTCCCAGCCACCATCCGGGTGGCTCCTGTAGCTGGCTGGTTAGGCGCGTGGTGAACTTCAATGCCAGCACAACAAAGTAGTCACTCTCGGCCTGCTACCAGGCCCCGGATGTGATCATGAGGGCAACCCCTACAGGTCTGGAAGGGAAGGGTATTGTCGGCTCAGTGTTAGTGGTGGGCTGTTGGGTCGATCGTGTGCTAATATTTTTATATATTTCTAATGTTGGGCTGAAAGAAGCTGGCGTCTTGCGGGTCTCTTGCTGCGGCAGCAGGTGCAAAGGCAACCCCCTTGAACTCGGTTGCTTGCTATGCCGCTGGCTGCCAATCCCAATCTGAAGCTGCAACAGCGGGCCGTTCATTCGTTGCAAACTGGGGAGGATCAAGTCACAGTTAGGACACGCACAAACGCCGACACGGCACCTCTGCTCCTGGCCCTTTCCACGACATCCACGACGGCGCGCTGTCCAAGTGAAACATGCTGCACGCCAGCCATGCAGGCGTGGACTAGACTATGACATCCGATGCCAGGGCACGACTCGCGGCGTGAAAGCTTGGGACTCCGGCACACCAGCGGGAAAGTGGGGGAAAGCATCGCAATGTCAGTTGTCAGCTTTCATCCAACATGCTTTCCAACCTCCCCTCACCGCACCGTACGAGAGCCTTTAGGCAATCGCAAAAGAATCGCCGTGCCAGGCATGAACTTCAAATTAACATGTCCGCTGGCCACTGAGGCCAGATTTGCACGCTTTGGCGCAATGTCAAATTTCACTTAAACCATGGCGTCCATCTTCTTATCTGTCGGCTGGCAGTTCTTAAGCTCTGCGTGCGAGATGCTGACGAGAAAGATGGCACCACGAAAACAGGCTGACTCACTGCATGTCAAGACATGCTTGACATCAATATGGCCCACAGTCTATGAGGCTCACCCACTTCTCCTGGCCACTGCGGAAATGCATGCAGCAGTCAACTGCAACAAGTAACATCAGCTGGTGCCGCCATCAGGTCGCTGGACTCTGCTACCTGGTGAGAGCAGGATGGATAAATTGTGCGTGCTCGTGTTGTTTGTCGGTTTTCTTCTGCCCCTTGTGTTTGCAGACTATTCTTTTGCTACCTGTAGCGGCTCAATATTCCGAAGGTTCACCCAATTTGACTGGATCTCCCTCAAGCTCACCCACAGGACAAGAGCAAAAGCATGGACAATTCAATTCACAAAACATTGTGGCAAAGACAAAGAATCGAATTCAGTCGCTTGACAAGAGGAAAGTCAAGGACATCAAGATACCAGTGACGACCCAAAATGGCCCCCAACAAGGATTCGCACTCGGTCTCTCAAACACGTCGACATTCAATTTGAGTTAACAACGTATGGAGATGTGAAGCTGCGGTTCAGGCCTCGTGAAGGCACACAGTACAAGCCACTGTGAAAAGATTTCATGTACGGAGCCTCACGATTTTGGCTTCATCCGTCAGGTGAACAGGGCTGTAGACAATGTAGACTCAGTGTGGACTGCTTCGAGCTTGACACTTGCCATGGCCGCACGGGCAGCGAACTCCCAATGCCACAAAGTGCTCAACAGAAACAATTTGGCGGGCGCAGTGAGGCAGCCGTGGACAAGACGGCTATCAGACACAGAGACGTAATTCAGGCTACCGACAGCGGCAACGGGAGCAAATTTGAGCTCTCTTGAACTTCCGAACAACTGCAGATGCCGCACTTCTCCAGCCAGAGCCTCCCAACTGCTCCACATGCGATGCAGACTCCCAAGAAAGCAACAACAAATGAAAGGTTCAAGAGACAACAGGCTTTACAAGAGCGGATTGGGGCGCAGGGGCAAGGGGGGGAACCACTCCCCTGATGAAAAGGACGAACACCACAAGAAGCACATGGCTCGCAGCACAATTGGGGGCCGCACGAGGATCAAATGTGAACTGGGATGTCCCAGTTTGGAGAGCCACGTGCCATCAGACTGATGCGTTGCGCTAGATACCCCAAGGTGGACCACACAAACCAGGACAAACCACAAGAGCACCAGCGCCTTCTGATTGACTGCAAAGGCACGCCCTGCGACGCGCCAGAGAGTGATGGCACCACGGGCAACACGCATCAACTTTAAGCGCTCGCCACATTCGATGCTAAGCTGGCAGCGTTCGGTGTCCGGGTCAACAAGCCCGCGGCCTCTGGGAGTCGCAAGTCACGCTACCATCGCTCTACCTCAATACATCCTTTTGAGGCTATACCTGCACACCCTCTAAATCCTGGCTCAACCTTTTCCTTTGGCGAATCCGTTAAGAAAAACGCTGGCTCCTGGCCTCGAGGAAAGCAGAAGCACTTGCCTTTGCCTCTCGATTGCAGTGCCTGGTACCGCTCCCGCGCATCGGCCTTAGGAACCACGCTGCGAGGCCTACGAGTACGGCCCTAAGTTTGCCCCAAACCCTGAGCCCTGAACAGCTCTCTCGTCTGCTCTGTCTTTTTTGCACTCCCTCGGGTCTTGGCCTCTGGGTTTGAGGGGGGCGGGGGGGAGGGTTTGGGGGGGCGAGCAAATTGCAGCTGAGAGACATCATCAAGGATCTTGCCAGCGCTGGCGTCCTGTGGAGCTTTCAGTTGCTAGTCTCAGGGAGAAGGAATCCCTCGGCCTTTCTTTCCAAATATGATTTCGTGATCTTGCGCATTGCTCGTTAAATGCAGCTGCCGACACCTCTTGTCTCACGTCTCAAGTAGCACGGGACTCTCCTTGAGATCACAAGCATCCGCTGGATCCACATCGCTATTGTCCGAGAAAAGGTACAGGCGCTGAAGTGCTAGAACCTCAAGCGGCCAAGGTCGCTTTGTCAAGCACTTCTGGCCATGATGACTTGGCACTAGGCCGCCCAAAATCGACGCTGGTCCTCTGCGCCCAGCAACACCTGGTAACTTAGAGTCATCCTCCACCCATCCCCATGAGCATCGAACATCCATGCATCTCTGTGTGACATAAACAGGACATCGCGGCAATAAGCCAGCCCTCAATATCTGGCTGCACAGGAAGTCTCGAAAAGGCCACGCGTGGCCTCAGCATGCAATGCAGGAGGGCACCAATAACGATTCACTGTTTAGCTACATCAGTTCGAAAAAAGGCCAGGCCGTGGCATGGGCTGCATAGAGATCTCAGCCTTCTGCGGTTGAATGCAGTCCCAGCCCCTCCTCCCCAAAAGCTAAGCTGCGTCACTTAGGCTTCTTGGCCCTGCAGAAGCCAAGCAGGTGTAAGCGACTTTGGCAAATGCAGCCTTCTTGACGTCAGCATAGAATTGGCGCAAGGCCGCTTCAGGCACTTCTTGCTCGCCTTGATTGATTAGGGTTAGCGTAGAGCGCCGGGCTTTGCGTGGCGACTATGCCCTGAAGGAGCCGGTCTTTACGAGTCTCTATGTGACATGCGCCGAGGCAAGGTCTAACAACACGACGTGTGTTCTCCACGAACTCGGTGGAAGTCATTGAGGCGGAAGGTGACTTGGCCTTGACTGGAGATAAGGACATGCAACTACAAAACGATCGTGTGATGATGTGTGATGTCATGCGAAGAATGCCACGACTGTCTCCATGCTGTCCTTCTTCGAGGCCACGTGAAGGGAGGTGTTCAGCATAATCAAGCTGAATGCTGTTGCAAGCACCTCATCGCGGCACAAACTGGTGCGCGAGCAACAATGAACCAGACTCTACACGCGACTTGCAGCTTAGCTCCATGCGCTATCTGCGGCTGCATATGCCGTCTCCGGCAGCGACTTCTCCTCCCGACGTGTTTCTATACAGCAGTGATCGACTTGTGTGCTGGCGTACAAGATGACCGAGTTTATTCGAGTCCTTGTTTTGTCCCCACTGCTTGAAATATGCTTCGGCGAACAGCTCAAGTATTCTGTTGATCACCTGACGCATGCACACTACAGGCGCTCATGTTCCCCATTGACAGGACCGGCCTGGCTCTCGCCACCTGGCTTGAAGGTATCAAAAAGCCTGGGCAGGTTTGGGTGACCACATTGCATGGGAGAAAAACAACCGACGAACTTCCAACTGGCTTCGCGGTCAGTATATGTTTCGTTCGGGGCTTGCTGTTCCTGCAAAAACTACAGCTCAGACAAATACATACATAAACCACACTCACTATACAGGTTATACAGGTTCACCCCATCGGTTGCCGAAGGGAAGAGCATTTGAGCATCTTTTTCTCTCCGAGCGAACAAGGCCACGAAGAATCCAATGGTCCGATCCTCCCAGGCGCTGCGGACGCAGCGCTCGGCTTCGGGGAAGTGCGGCAGCTTCAAGCCCCTCCGTGGCCACCTGAGGCCCAAAGTGTGGCTTGAAACCCTGCAGGTTGAGCCAGTGGTGCACGCTGCATGTTGACCTTCTACAATGCTACAACGTACTAAGAAGCTCACCAAGGAAGCGCTTCCTCGAGATGGTATCGCTTGCCCTCTTCGCTTGCAAGCACCTGAGTCCCACGCAGCGGGAAAAAATGCAGCGGCAAGCAAACCGAAAAAAGAGAGATTTGGAGACAGTCCAAAAGCCGTGCCTGTTGCACGACCTGCTCGTTCTCTTCCTTGCGGCGGCAGCTCCAAGCGATGCTCAACTCAGCGCGACCCCGAACCCAGAACTGCCATACGTGCACTCTGCTATGCTCTGCTCTCCTCGTGGACGGAACAGGTCGAGTAGGCGATTCTCTCGCAGGATGGGAAGCGCATAGCATGCAAGATTACTGCCTTCTGATTCGTTGCAAGTTCCTGCAAAGACGCAGGATCGGAGATGGGCTGCGCTGTCATCCCAGAGGAAGAACAGCTCGGATCCAGCAAGAAGTGCGTCACCTTGCTGTACTTGGGGTCTCGTGTGGAGACTTGGAGAAAGTCCTGGCGAGGTCTTCTGTCAGACTGACGCTGCGCGCACTTTTTCCCTTTCCGTATATAAGCTCATGACACGTCGTTTGCTCTTGAAGGATCTTCAGCGTGCCGAGTCCTTCTCCCGAGCTTCCACGCATGTCACATGTCTTTGCTCCATCAGGTTTGTCAAGGTCTTCAGACGCTTGCCATCCCTGTCAAAGGCATAGATTGTCCCTTGGTTGCACATCATCGCCTTAGCTCTCTCTATCTCTCTATGTCTGTTTCCTCTCACTGTGGCCCCCCTCACTTTGGCTGTATCACACTGATGGACTATCGCCCTGCACTCTGCACGGCAAGGCACCGCAAGCTGGGACGTCTTCGATCCAGGGGCCGCACAAGCATCGATTACCTGATGAAGATGGCCGGAAGAGTCTGCTAAGCAAACGCATCGGGGTAAACATCGTTCATGCGATTCCCTGCCGATCGAAATGAACGGGCTTAAGCTTAGGGCTGTTGTTAGCCTTTCGTTCTACCATGCGCCACCTAGCTCGCACGGTCTCTACCATCCTCGTTTCTGCTAAAGCTGTTCGCCGTCGTTGCATTCCTCATCTAGTAACTGGCTGAGTCTTCGTGTCGCCAACAAAAATGCGGGGCAGTCCACCTGCCCACCGCAGGGCGGCTGCAAGGCCAGGGCCGGGAAAGCCGATGCCTCCACTTCCGGAGATGCAGTCAATTAGAAGAACTAGAATCGCCCACGGCTGCGCCTTCTGCTGGAAGATGAGGCAGCCCTGGTCAAACATCTCCACCTCTGAGCCATGCATTGCTGCACGAGACCGCGACAGCCAAAAAGCAGTAGAAGCGGACGAGACCGTGACGGCCAAAAAACAGTAGAAGCGGACGAGACCGTGACAGACAAAAAGCAGTAGAAGCAGACGAGACCGTGACGGCCGAAAAACACAGGAGAAGCGGACGAGACCGTGACAGCCGAAAACAGTAGAAGCGGACGAAAGCGTGACATCCGAAAACAGTAGAAGCGGACGAGACCATGACAGCCGAAAACAGTAGGAAGCGGACGAGACCGTGACAGGCAAAAAACAATAGAAGCGGACGAGACCGTGACAGCCAAAAAACAATAGAAGCGGACGCGACCGTGACAGCCGAAAAAAGTAGAAGCGGACGAGACCGTGACAGCCGAAAACAATAGAAGCGGACGAGACCGTGACAGCCAAAAAAAACAATAGAAGCGGACGAGACCGTGACAGCCGAAAAAAGTAAAGCGGACGAGACCGTGACAGCCGAAAACAATAGAAGCGGACGAGACCGTGACAGCCAAAAAAAGTAGAAGCGGACGAGACCGTGACGGCCAAAAACTGCACCGAAACTTGGATCGTGCAGACCAGGATCGTCCTCGGTGTGGGACTGGCCCATGGGCTTGAACACAAGCATTTCCGGGATGTGAATGTCCCTATAATATATCCTCAGCTCTTGTGCGCTACATTGCGTCGCCAAGCGGACTTTCTTTGGCTCTTGCGAAACCTGCAACCCACTTGCCAGCAGAGCACCTGTTGCCAGAGCCTTTAGGTGGTTCCAGTCCAGAGGGACGACGGGCGGCTTCCCGCTTTTCGCGCAGGCTCGGCCTCCAAAAGGTATGTCCGCTGCTTTGGAGCTCCCTTTGTACCTTGCCCCAGGTCACTCCTTGGTCCAGAACACATCTGCGCAGCAAATTCTCTTCTCAAGCTTTTTGGGAGGAGCACCCGGTGCCAGCATGTTGATGCGAGCATACCGTGGGAGGGCTCGCTTCACAGCCTGAGTTAACATGGCTTAGTGGCCAGCTACGGCATTGAAACTCATTGAAGATTTGAATGCATCAGAACCACACCTTCCCCCCGAGGCCGAGGAGCGGTGCGCGCCTTGAGATCCTCCGAAATGGTCGAACGCCGGGCCTTCCACAGGATTTCACAGGCTTCACATGGCATGCAACACGTCTTCGAGTGGTTCTCTGCCACACGGTTCAAGACGGCGATTCTTACCACACCAAGCCCAAGCCCTCCACGCGCCTGCAAATCATGCAGTTGCTGCTTCACATCCTCCCTTGCCTGGCAATCACGCCATGTCTTAACCGAACCTCGGAAAGTAGATTGATGTCGATAGAGCGTTGTTGTCACTCACGAGTCCTCATGGCATGCTGGAAGGCTGACATCGCATCTGACGGTAGCCGGCGCGGGACTGCTTGGCGGTTTTGGCCGCTTCTGCTTCTGAGCGCCTCCCGGATAATAAAGCATATGGCATCTTCCACCCCAAGATCGACCCAAGCATTAGCACACTCCATACACACGCTTGCTAACACCCGCGTACCACTCTTGCGTGCTTAGGCCGTAACCCGGCGATCCTTGAAAGACTGAACTTAAGCAAACTTAAGCCACAGCCAGAGCGTTTCGCGGCTTCATTGCTTCATGTACACAGTACAGACAAGTACCCGATCTTCACAGCATGAGCAACCCAAAACGGTGGTCGCAATGTCGCCTGGCCCCCGCCTCGGCGCTTCGCAAGTCGAAGGTGCTGGAGACGCCGACGGGGAGGTGCTTGGGCCGCCAGGGCCATGGAAAGAAATTTTACATATGTACATATACAATGTACTTACTTACTGACTGACTTGCTTACTTGTATTTGCAATTGTATTTGTAGGTCTTATTTACGCACAAAAGAGGTACATTGATTTTCAGCCATGTACATAGTATGTCTTTGTGCATTTTCCCTATATATGTCCCCGGTCCGCTACTACCCCGGCCAACATTGCCAGAGCTGGTGCTTGTGAATCATGTGATGCAGAGGCGGTGTATGACGTTTATGTCTGCGTCAGGTCGCGCCACGGTTCCTTCTTGAGCTGAGATGTTAGAAGCCGGCGAGACGGTAAAGATACCACATGTCACACTTGCTACATGCTGCTCAGCAGGCTTTTTCCTGCACCAATTCCAGGAGGATCCCAGGACATGCAAGATGCTTCCGAAAAGTCGCGGCTGGTCAAGCACCACAAAGCCTCGGCACGCGAGTAACTTGCAGAAAGACCAGCCATCCACACTGCATCACGCTGCTACCCAACCAATCAACTTTCAGCCGGCCGGCATTGCTGGCGGCTGTGCCCGGATGCACCAGCCACTTGAGTTGCTCACCACGGCCCCCGAGAGTCCCTAGAGAGGCCTCTCCATTGCTGGGCTGCGGCAAGGACACCTGAATGCAGAGCAGAGAAACGCTGGCAAAAAATGAAGCTGATATCGCACGACCCTGTGCCTTCAGACGACGAATTCCAAGAGCTGTTTCTGAGCTGGGCAAGAACTGACGGTTGTGGCCCCAGCATCCAGAGAGCTCCTTCGCTGGAATACGTCAAAATGTACTTCGACCACCAAAATGCGATGGTACCGAGCTGAATCTACATGCTTAGAGCCAAGGCAAGGTCCAGACACTGGGCCGCGTGGTGCTGTGCGAAACTTCCGGACTCAGCGGAATCCCCAGAATCCACTGCACGGGCTGCAAGAAACACTGCCCATCTCCAGCTGCTGCTGCGAGCCGCAGCTATGGACGCCAACTGGCAACTGAGGAAGAAGGCAGGACATGCTAGCAGCTGCGCGTCATCTACTCTTAGCCTTAGTAATCCTTAGTATATACGTATTGTCCGGCCTCCATGCTGCCACTTTGCGCGGACCAAAGCTGGAGCAGCTGCACGGCATCCTCTCAAATGTCAATGCTACATTTGGCACCTCCCCATTTCGCAATTCCCTGCAGCTCCTCCCAACGGAGCGCTCTTTCGCAGGCAGACAAGGTGGTGGTGAGTGTGGTGTGTGATGCCGTACGTAAGTGGCACAAGTCCCAGAAGCTGCGCAGCGCGGTTTGCCAGAGGCGGCCAGCTGCCAAGGCACCAATGGCCACCGTCCAAGTCACCGGGTCGGGCTGAAAACTTTGTCTTCGCATCGCCTCAAAGAGGGCTAAGGCTTGTTCCCATCGCCTGGCCTTCTCGCACGCCGACAACGTGGAGTTTGCAGTGATCAAGGACACCCGCATTCCGCTGCGTGCACTCTGCTCTAGGAGTGACAAGGCAAGCTGCCACTGACGACCCTTCTCACAAGCCAGAATACCCGCATTCCTCATCGGGAGGTTGGGCACAACACCGTACTGGGAAGCCGAAAAGAGGATGTGGAGACCAAGCTCCCATTGCTGCCCGGACGCCGCGCCTGTGATGGCAACAAGGTGAGATATGTGGAAATTCGGAAACCAAGACTGAGGAAATGTAGGTTGTCTTTTCGAGCCTTCGGCAGCCGAAACACAAACGCAAGACTCAAGCGTCTACAAGAAGCTTTAGTTCCCCACCCTCGGTGTGGGGTGGTTAGATTTTAAACTCAACTCTTCTCCTCGCCCGGTCTACTCCTCGCCCAAGGCCAGGGTGCCCAACCCCAGAGTCTCCCTGCAGTGCCCAGCCCCAGAGTCTCCCTGGAGTGCCCAACCCCAGAGTGTCCCTTAAAGTGCCCAACCCCAAAGTGTCCCTGGAGTGCCCAACCCTAGACTGCTCCTGGAGTGCCGGAGTGTCCCTGGAGTGCCCAATTTCAGAGTATCTCTACCCAGAGAGGGTGGGGACTCTGGGTAGGGACGTTCGAAGTAAAATAATTGTTCTACTCACTCTTATCGCGGAAATAAGGCTTCCCATCAGGTTCAGATAGGAGAAAAAGGCTCTCCGTACAGAGGAACTGGAGGCTTTTGTTATATGTAAAACACCCACGGAGATACAGGTTATCGGGGATATCGTTTTTCTTGCGCCGAGGGGTGGGGGGGGGGGGGTCCGGGTCCGGGTCCGGGTCCGGTCCGGGTCCGGGTCCGCGTTGGGGTGCGGGTCCGGGTTGGGGTCCGGGTCCGGGTGCGGGTCCGGCGGGGGGGGGCGGGTACGGACGTTGAGGCGCGAGAAAAGGGATATTATGCAGGTTTCGAGTGTGGACGAAAGTGCGGTCTCATGCAACATGTAGCAAAAATAGAGGAGTATGGAGGGAAAAGAAGCTTGCAAACGCCAAAAGAATATTCATAAATCAAAGACATTTTCAAGAGCCAAAAGAGCACCGGACCTCTTTTTCCACTATACTATGTTTAATGTTGTCGGTTAGCTGTGTACGATGGGCTTCAGAAGGCTTCGTGCACGGCTTAAACGATGCAGTGGGGGGGGGGTTCCTACGACGGGTTTAGACGGCATTCATCTGGTTTGGAGGCATCTGTGTTCCCGACATGCTCTCTTTGACACGAAAAGAAGGGTCTGCCCAAAGAACGCTAGACGGGCCGACTGACTGACGTACCTGTCAGATGCCTGGACAAGCCGACGGACCGGACGAGTGACATGAGTGACTAGAGTCTAGACCCTCTTGAATCCTAGACCCAGAAACAACGGGGGAGCGAACAAAATTATGGCGCACAATGAAAAGCAGACAGGCAGATCTCCGAAACTCAGACATGTCGGGAACAGCGCCCTGGAAGCGAGTGAGTGTCTGAGTGTCTGAGTGCCTTACTGTGCCCCCAAGCACACCACCAATCAACGACGAGTCCAAGCAAACATAGAGCACACAAGAGCTGACACCCCGTGGCAACAAGTCGTGATCTCAACTGCTTGACCATGTGCAAGATGAAGTTGACAGATTGTTACACATGTGCCCATTAGCCAAATCACTGGCAATGGCTGCACCCAATAGGCCCTCGTCAGCATGGACCTTTCGGTGACGTGTTGCCAAATCGAAAATCTGAATCGCCCGGTGCCACTGCCGACCTTGTCGGCAAGCTGACCTGGCATCTGCAAAGGTCTGCACGCGTATCTGCCCACGGCCAGCTCACGCATCTCCACTTTCATGTTTTTTAAGGCTGGAGCATGGCAGCAGTGAGAGAAACAACCTTGCATCATGATATGGAAGGATCAGCCCTACCAGGCGAACCTGTGGACCGAAAGGGCATCTCTATGGACTTCGAGCGTCTCCGTGAAGGCCCTGCAAGTTTATGATGAGGAGCCGAGTGGCCGTTGGCACCAGGCCAGCATTCTCGGCAGAGAGCAGAAGTGCCAGGGCCTGTCCCAGACAAGGTGACCAGCGAGTTTGGGAAGACGAGTCGAAGAAGAGGATGGGCCGAGTCCGGAAACAGCGGGAAAACAGGAAAGGAGCTTGACCCATCCAAAGCCCTGACGCCTTTAAAGTCTTCAAGCATTGGATGCACCTAGCAGCCCTACCCCCCTCACAATCCTGAAGTCATAAACTCCAAAACCCCTTCTGCCTCTATGGCCCCAAACCTTCTAGGCACCAGAATCCTTTCTAAACTAAACTCCTAGCCCTAGCATCTGAGATCATGAGCTGTTCAGGACCTTGAGGACCTTTGCACTTCAGTCCGAGGCGTTTCTTTCTCAGGCTTAGACGCAGCGTTTCTTTCTCAGGCTTAGACGCAGGCATTGTTTTAGATTTAGGCGAGGTACTTTTCCTGAGTTGATGCTCACTCCCCAGATAAGGCATGATGGAGGCATGTGCGACATTGTACAGAGGCATGCGCGTACTGGTTGTTATGCCTCCACACGTGCCAGCAAACTAACACGTACAGCCCAGCGCATGCACACGTGCCGACACTAGTAGAACAAACGTAGTATCACACATGTATCTGAGCCCACCATGAGAGGTTGCTAACGGTACCTCTATCAGCGAGACGCAGTAAGCATCAAATATACATAGACTCGTAGAGTGGACAACAGAAGAAGCGCAGGCGCAGCAACCGCTCTTTCGGCGAGAGAACAAGCATGCACATGCAGCTGCGTATGCGCACGCAGACCTAGATGAGAGCCCCTGTTGAAACGGGTGTGCATACTCCGATGCTCAGCCCAGCCTTTTGGCTGGCACGATTCTGCAAACCACTGAAAAGCGAGACAAGAACATCAATCACGTTTTAGCAGCTTCAAAACGACCGGCAGGCCATGAACCCATCGCTTGTAGAAACATACAGTCGAATGCCCGAAAAAGGGCCTGGACAGCTCTTTTAAAAGCCATTAGAAAGCCAAAGCAAGGCTCAAGGCCACAAGGAACCTATTCAAGGGCTCCGACGCCCGCGCGACCTTTTCACGAGCTATTTTTTGTCGAGGGGGGGGGGGGGGGGCGTCGAATTTTCAGTTTTTGAAGGCAACAAATGCTTCAAGGACCCCTGTAAGCCAAAGCATTTCGCTTTCCCTTCATCGAGATGGAAAGTCTGCTTTCCTGGCCATCCGTATCCATGTAAACGTATCCCATTGCCTGCAGACATACACCCGTGCATTACATCATTACGTTGTGCCCCTAAACTGTGGTGCAACAGGCCCGTAAGCACTCCACCATTACACAATTACACCATGTTACACCGGGAGCGCACGCACAACCCCGTGAACCGCACATGCTGTTTCGGATTGAGATGCGTCAGCATTGCCTCGGCCCATCGGCTGCCAACTTCGCATGCCTCAATCGGATGCCCAAATGCTGGAAAGTGCTGGACAGGCCCCGCATTGCGCCAAACAAGCCTTTTAGGCTGCACTGCCCGCCAAGTCTCTGTCATTGCTGCATTGAAAATCGGCATCTCGACCAGTAGCTGCTCAGTGTGGGCCGCGTTCATGTAGCTAGCAAACAAATGCAAGGACTGCTGCCAGTCCAGCACCCTGCGTGCATCAGAGATAGCCGACGTCGCTTCAACCAGCCGAGATTTGAGAACACGTCGGGATATGCAGCGGATTTGTCGGTAGCATAACACACACACCATATGCAGTGTTCTAGGCCACTCGTTCTGGCAAAGGTGCCGAGCAGGGCCAGTGCGACCCAGAATGACCCAGAAGCCCAGCCGCGTCCGTCACGCGTCGTCACAGAATTGGCTTAGCCATGTCAGGCTCGACAAATATGTTCCGAATCCAGAGCCCCTCGAAGTCAGAGCCGAGGCTGCAGCGAGAACCATGCAAGCATCACGAAGCCGCGGTGACGACTTCTTCTAAGCTTCTAGGCATTTCCTGAGGCCGGGACTTACGCAATGCCACGACCAAGTTCATTCCTGCGAAATCCAGGCAGAAGACGAACTCCTTGAAGACCTGTGGCGCGGCGCTGCCAAGATTTGCCACGTGCACGCATGGAAGTTTCCCAGCTTCCTCATCGCGCTGCCTCGAGAGCATCTCTCCGGCTGAAGTAATTCCCCAACAAGGTCGGGTCCAGGCCTCGCAATTCTTGGCACATCAAAAACAGATATTTCATAATTTTATAGATCTATCACACGTGTACTTAAGAAACCCTTTCTAAGATTTCTAGAAGTAAAAGACGTCTATGTAGCCCACAGAGCATGCAGCAAAACCCAGCACCAAAGTGGCACCTCCATTGACCGTGGACATTTGCGCCAGCCACTGGCCCACCTAGCCAAAACAGAGGCCCGAGTTCGCAAAGAAGCTTGCTCAAGCACGCTGGCCTCGACTGCCGTCGATTTGCCAAGCTTACCCTTGAGGTACTTGACACCTTCCTTCACAAGGCCAACAGCTTCTGAGTTGCTTAGGAAGATGGATCTGGGCCTTGGGATCGAGGTTGAAAGCCAGCACAGCCTGAGCCTGCGCTATGCCATGCTTCTTCAAAAAAACATCCCAGAAATCGCTTGGCTCAACCTATGCTTTTCGATGCGCATGTCAGGCACCTCATACAAAGCTTGCTCAGAGTTCTCCGCTAAGCGGACCCCCTGATGTCGCCTAAGTCCGAGCAGTCTCTGGCTGGTCGCTGGGTGTTCCCTACTGTTGAACAATGCTGAACAACGAGGCCGCCGCCAAAGATACTGGAAAAGCGATCGCTGGATAAACTCTAGCCTGGCAACAGAGCATTTTTTGGGAAGCTGTGGAAAAATGGAGTGTCAAGTAGGTGGGCTGGCTTGTTTTTGCCCTCCTTGTCCCGGCTAGCCAGGAGGTTCCTGTCCGCAAGCATGCAAAAGGGGGTTGTGAACAGAGTCAGCGCCCAACACAGCGATGTAAGCTCCAGGCTCTAAAGCCTCTGCGAATCCTTGCATTGCCTCGACTCTGGCCCAGTACAGGCAACACTCCAGGAAACTGTCAGAGCTCGGAACACACGCCATGGCTTCCACAGCCACAACAGGCCTGCGCTGATGCACCGAAGACAACAAGAGCACATATTGCACGAAGTTGCATACAGGCACACCGCTCCGCATCGACGTGCTGCTGACGGAACATTCTGAGTCACACGCATGTCGCGCTGAGAGACGCCAAGCTTGCTGATTGTACTGCGCTCTGCGGCTTCACCTTGCTTTGGACTAAGCCCCTGAACCCTTTCTGCCCTACACCCTCCTTTTCCCCGTCTCCCTCCTCCAGGTGCTGTTGAAAGAATCAATGTTGGCCCTTCCTCCCCCTCCCCCCCAAAGAAAGAGAAGAGAATCCTGTGAATCGTACAATAAACCCCCACCCCCACCCCTTGCTGTGCTTCAGACGGGCATTGCGGCCCAGCTGGTGGCCCCAAATCTCCATCTAGGCACAGGCTGCCACAGGGATGGGTGTGACAGGGAAACCACTTGCAACGCTTTAACGCAAGCGCGTCATGCAGTTGAGGCATTTGCGCAAAGGACTTCGCCGTCCTCCGAGCAATGGAGTCAACAATAATCAAATGAGTGCAGATGAGTCTCTCCACAGGTACCCGGATGAACTCCTTGTGAGGGAAAGTCGTGGTGCAGGACGCCACGTCTAGGAGTGACAGGCGGCACTGCTGTTGAGCCGGCCTGAGCAGAAAACACCTTTTGGATGAGCAAACTTCATGCATACCACGGGGTAGCTGCGTGTCGTATGGCGCCCAGCTCAACTGCAACCTGTGCGTCATGCGTTTTCATGTGTCATGATGCTGCCTTCACTCACAATATTCGGATGCTGGGACGTGGACGAGGGAAAGTCGACCTGAAAGTGTTGGACGCAAGGGGGAATTAATGTCGGTTGTGTGTTGGAGAATGTCTCAGCAGCCAACCCATATTCTTTGAGCCTGCCCATTCACCTGTTTTGACGGATTTCGCCGGCAGCAGCCGATACTCTGAAGCTGCAAAACGTGCATTCCATTTGAAATCCGATACGAGGCCTCTCCAGTTGCGCCGCGATAAAGCCTGGCGCCACACAAAGGGCCCACATCCCTTGCCCTTTTTAAAGTTTGGCGGTGTTTAGGTTTGGCTCTTGCTCCACTCACTGACATGGTCGAATCTGTTCTTTCAGGGTTCTGGGTTGCATGTTCAGTTGCCTGCTGTAGCGATTTTCTTGCTTTTAAAGTGAGAATATTATTCGCGCATCATTGCGAACATAACCTTGGCGAGATGCGTCCCAACAACAAATGCGATGCAGTACGGAAAAGCTCCGGTGGTTTGCTGTAACTTGACCTGCTTTTGCACTGAAAGCATCCGTTGAACGGGCAGTCCATGTCATGCCAGGGTTGCTTGTAGACAACGGCTGCATCTATGCCTTGGTCGGGGCGCGGAACTGCAAAGCAAACAACAGCAACCAAAAAAAAACTTTCGCGACTCACCACGAGAGCCACCACAATCAACGGATACAAAGCCCCTAGCTTTCTGGAGGCTCCAAAACGTAGCCGTCGCCACATTCCTCCCCATAACTCTCACAAATTTCTCGAACATGGCATGCGTGGCCTGTCAGTCAAGTCCTTGACCGTTTCAACCCGCACTTGGTCCAGGCCTTGCATTACTAGCACATTTCTAACAGCACTCGAAGCACATCTGTCGGCAATCACGCAATTTGAGCAGCACGCCCAGATCCTGGTTGTGTCCCATCGCTGGGCCCGCGTCCTGCAATCGATGAAAAGCTCGTGGCCACAGGACTGGCAAGGAAAAACAGAAAAAAAAAAAAAAAAAAAAAAAAAAAAAAAAACCTTCCTTGGCAGCTCAGCCTGGCAGCATCTTGGCGCAAGATGCTAAGCACTCATGGGCTCATGGCTTACTCGTAGGACTGCGTGGGATGCCTGAGATGACTCGACCAACAGTCCATAGTATGTTGGTTTTTTTAAATTACGAGTCGATGGGTGAAAAGATGCACGTGAATGCAAGCTTGGGCCGGAAATGCAGAGGTGCCAACTCTTACATCCTTCCTTTTTTTCTGCCTTCCTACGAGAAAAAATGTTGTTGCAATTGTCTGGTCGAATCAGCAAACGTCAAATTGATGTTTCCCACAGCTTTCAATTCCTTCAATTCTTTGCTCGTTCTGGCCAGATGGACGTTGGGAAAAGCAGAAAAGTTGTCCGGCACTTGTGGCCAGGCTGAAAGATAGCTTTCCAATGGGATCAATAGGCGTTTCGCTTTCGCTTTCCCCCGTTCGGGTCCACGTGAAACATTACAAGCGTCAGACTGTTCCTGCTGCTAGTGGACCACGGTCCTATAAGGACATGGGGAATGGGGGCGTGCTTGAGTGTTGACACGATTCGGTCTATACATTCGCAAAGCTTTGTACGTACTGGCTTGCAGCGGGCGGCCAATTTGCTGTTTCAGCAATATCAGTCCACGGATTCACCGCTGGGAAATTACAGGCTGCAAAACTGCGGAGTCGATCATCCCACTTCGTTAGCGGGCGACCGGGTCGCCGATGTAGTTGTAAAGCAAAATTTGCTTGCCAGTTGCTTTCTGGACACCATTTGACAACAGCCGCGGCCCAATTGGGAATTCGCAACATGTGGAAAGCGAAGTTGTACTGACGTCGTGCAAGCTGGCGAGACCGTAGCCATTTTGGCTCAAGCCATTTTGGCTCAAGCCATTTTGGCTCAAGCCATTTTGGCTCAAGGCTCCAGAGGAACTTCGTTTGTTTTACTGTTCTTGAGGCTGCTGGTAACACCGGTAAGGCGTCCTTCTTGAACTGGTCCCGGGTTCGCCTTTAACCGAAACCTTCTACAGCCTGTAGTTGGCACATGGTGGTGGTGACGCTGCAATTGGGAGGAGTGGAGATTCGTGGAACGGAGCTCGACGGCCAGTTTGTCCTCCCGGCTGACCTTGTCCTCGCGGCGGGTGGAGTTGTTCTCCGCAGGGAAGACCGCACCACAACCCCTTCATCCAGCCCTTTGCGGCGGACTCCCTCAAGCTCACGCAGCCGTGTACGCGGCCCGCGACCCCGCCCCAGCCTACCATCAAGGAGCACCTCCCGCACTTCCCGCAGTCGCACACCACCGGGACGTGGTGACCTGCCTGAACGCCGGCCCCCCACACCGCCGCCGGCGCGCATCCGCCCACGCCCAGAGGCGCCCAGGCGTCGGCGCACACACCGTGGCTGCCGTGCCGGCCGCCAAGGGCGAGGTGGGCGTAGGGACGACAGATCGGCTACGCCGCCCCCCCGTGGATTCCCGCCTGAGCAAGGCCCCTCGCCTTTCCGCCCTGGACACGGCCCAGCTGGGCTGACGCCTTTTGGCAGGCAGCAGCCGGTGTCGCCTTTTGCTCCGTGGTGCCAGCGTCTTGAGCGGCCCTCACCATTCTTCACGCAGCCAGTGCCTCAGCTCCTCCCGCCTTGGTTCCACACTGCACCGCCCCTGGAGAGCATTCCTTTTGCGAGGCGCCGCTTCTGAGCCGTGAACGCGGACTTGGCCGCTGGCGCCCCTGTGGCAGCCGCGGCCGTCCGACCCTTCATTTTTTTGTTGTGGCCTGGCCCTTAGGTGGTTGGACTGGCCGGTTCTGCGAACGGCCACCGGCGCCTCCGAGGCCGCCGTGGCCCCGCCTCCTTACCAGTGAGTCCGGGCCCCAGCCTGTCCTTTGCGCTTGTTTGCTCTGCAGAGCTGCGTGATTCGCCCATTGCTGCTTGCCGCCCAGGTTTGCGCGCCCCGAGGGCAGCCACCTGTTGCGTGCGCGTGCGAGAAAAGAAACTACAAACAATCAGCACAACACAAAAATCTCCTCAAACAATTTACACAACAGCAACACACGCGGCTGCTGCAATTCGTAGGACTTTTCGTTTTGTTTGCGTTTGCATTGTTGAGGCCGCATCACGCAACGCCGTGTGCACGCTGCGACGATTCGCTTCCTGCCTCACGGGCCCTTAGGGTTTGGCCACGAGTCACGGGTCGCTCGCTGCCTCCTGCAGCCCAGGGCGTGTGCGCCTCCGTGGCGCCCCCCTGTCGGCGCATCTTCCGGCAAAGGCCATGTCCCGGCGCTCGCGTGCGGATTCCCCTCCGGGCGCGCTCTCTCCCCCTAGCGAGCCGTGTGCGGCCAGCCGTTCCAACGGCCCTGGGGATGCCACGCCAGTCGCGCCGGTTCATGTAGACCGGGTATGTTGCGTTTGCCTCGAGGACCTCGACCCCACCGTCCAATCTGGTGGCCTCGCAGTGGTACCTTTCCCGACCTGTGCTGCACACTGTTTGCACCTGTTTTGTTTGGCCCAGTTCCGCAGCCAGGCTTCGGGTCCAGGGGACCTCCTTTGCCCATTGTGCCGCCATGGCCGTTGCCCCGGGTGCGATCCTCAGGGTTGGTCCGGGACCCATGACGCTGCGTTGCGGGACGCGTGCGCGGGGCACGGCATCGAACTCCCGCAACGTGCGTCTGGCGAGTCCACTGTGCGAGCAGCGCAGCCGGATTATGCACTCCGCACTTTCACGGCTCACGATGCCCCGGAACCGCCACCCCCTCCGAGCGTGCGGCTTCTTTGTTGCCATCGTGTTGTCCCCACACGGTCGACGAGCGGCCAGCTCACGTTCCAACCTTTGCCCGACCGCGATATGGACTGGGCCCCAGTCGCCGTTCGCCATGACCATGGCATAGCTGCATGGCGGCCCGGCTGGTTGTGTCCTTCGTGCGGGCGTGCCCAAGACCTCCATGATCTGCAGGTGCCGGATGTTGCGGGCGAGCCGTGTGGTCTGTGCGAGGGGCGCGTGGAGTGGGTATGTGACCTTGCGACCGGCACATCCCGGCTCCAGTGCCCAGAGGGTTGCGCGCAGCCCGCGCTGCACCCTCAACGGGCCGATCCGCCAGCGAGGGCCCTCCTCGCCGCAGGTACTTCCTGTGATCCCGCTGAAGCTGGCCTGCCACCGCCGCCG